AGCACGTTCCTCACAGCACTGCAAGCAGCTTGAGCTTCCTGTTTGTGTTGCTTCCTCTTACCCTCAAATTTAACCAGAGTGATGTGGAGGCAGGCCCATGTGGGTGTTTGTGTGCCATTTGAGGAACTCCTAGCTTAGGAAACCCCAGTCTTTTGTAAGAGCCTACAACCAGACTTGCCCAACCTTTGCACCTGGGGGAGATACTTATATACTGGACATATTTATTATTTCTGAGGTCGTTTACTGTAGAAACCTTTGAAAGACTGCCTCGAATAAAGGCCATCAATGTGTCTGTTTAAAAAATGAACAGGATTATAGGAGACTTATGTAGAATTGTCCTCTAACAACATTTCTTTCATAAGTCCCTATAAAGGGGTTGATAAAGTGGTCACTACTTACAGTGACTTTAGTGAGTATAACACATGTGAGTACAAAAGTATCACACATACTTTTTGGTATTACTTTTATGTCAGCTATATTAATTGTCTGTTACTATGTCACAAATGATTCCAAGATTTGTCGGTTTAAAACATAAATATTATTACTTTTTGAGACAGAGTTTGACTCTGTTGCTCTAGGCTAGCCTGCTGTGGCATCAACCTACCTCACAGCAACCTCAAACTCCTGGACTCAAGCAATCCTCCTTCCTCAGCCTCCTGAGTAGTTAGGACTACAGGTGCCTGTAACATCCCCCAGCTAATTTTTTCTTTCTTTCTTTTCTTTTTTTCTTTTTTTTTTTTTTTTAACAGAGATGGGGTCTTGCTCTTGCTTAGGCTGATCTTGAACTCCTAAGCTCAAGATATCTTCCTGCCTCCGCCTCTCAGACCGCTGGGATTACAGATGTGAGCTACTGCACCCACCCTGAATATTGTGTTTTCATTTTTGCTTTACCAGGTCTTATTTAGAAATGGTCAGTATTAGTTGACTTGCACTATGTATAACCAAGAAGGAATTAGTATTTGGAATATATAAGGAATATCTACAATTAATAAAATGATAAACAGTCCACTAGAAAAATGATCTAAATCATTTAACAGATATTTCACATGTTGAAAATATGAGTGGCCACAATGAATATAAACAAATGCTTGACCTCATTAGTAATGAAACTGAGAGTAAAACTGGATACAAGTCCTTATCAGTTATATGCTTTGCAAAATATTTTCTCCGAATCTGAGGCCTATCTTTTTCTTCTCATAGACTTTTTAATTTTGATGAAGTCCAGTTTATCACTTGGTTCTTTAATAGATTATCCTTTTGGTGTTTTTTGAGACAAAGTCTCACTCTGTGCTCTGAGTAGAGTGCTGTGGCATCATAGCTTACAGCAAACTCTTGGACTCAAGTGAACTTCTTGCTTCAGCCTCCCAAATAGCTGGGACTACAGGCACCTGCCACAATGCATGGCTAGTTTTTTTCTGTTTTTAGCAGAGACCGTGTCTAGCTCTTGCTCAGGCTCGTCTGGAACTCCTGAGCTCAAGCAGTCCACCCGTCTTGGCCTGCCAGAGTGCTAACAGGCCCAGCCCTTTTGGTATCTTAAGAAATCTTTAACTAAGGTCAAAAGGTTTCCTCCTAGAAGTTGTGTAGTTTTAGGTTTTACAGTTAAGGATGTAATCCATTTTGAGTTTATTGCATTTGATGCCAAGTACAGGTCAGAGGTTTTCTTTTTCTTGTTCCCCTCCCCTTTCCCATGTTGTTATTCCTTTCCCTTCCCTTCCCTTCTACTAGGATATCTAGTTGTTCTAGCATTACTTGTTGAAATGTTCTATTCTTTTTTTACTCTGTTTGCTTTGTACCTCGTGTAGTATCAATGCATTGAATTTCCATGTGAACATTAGAATCAGTTGTCAACTTCTTCTGCAAAGCCTGTGGGAATTCTGATGATGATTGCATTGAATCTATAAATCAACTTGGGGAGAGTCAACACTTAACAATATTGAGGCTTCCAACCCATGGATAGAGCATATCTTTCCATTTATTTAGGTGTTTTTTAAATTTCTTTCAGCAGTGTTTTGTGGTTTTCATCATACAGGGTATTACCATCCTTTGTCATAATGTGTTTCCCTATGAAATTATATATTTAAGATTTTAGTTTCTCATTGCTAATATATAGGTCACTACCTGTCTTCATTCACTTGCTAGTTTTAACAGCTTCATTGCAGATAACCTTTAAATTTTATTTATAGATGCATATGTGTATGTGTCTGATATAATACGTTTATATATATAACTTTTGTCTGTGGATAAAGACGTTTTACATTTTCTTTCCAGTCATGATGCCTTTTTATTTTATGTGATTGTACTAATTAGAGCTTTCAGTACAATGTTATACAGAATTGGTGAGAGCACTTACCTTGTTTCTCATTTTAGGGGAAAAGCATTCAGTCTTTCATCATTGAGTCTGATGTTTCTGTAGGTTTTGAATGGATATTCTTCTATTCCTGATTTTTAGAGAATTTTTATTTTAGCTGGCCTGGGCTGGGTTCGAACCCACCAGCCTTGGTGTATGTGGCCGATGCCTTACCCTCTGAGCTACAGGTGCTGCCTTTTTTGAGAATTTTGATCAGGAATGAATGTTGGATCCTATCAAATAGTTTTTTTCTGTAGCTGTTGAACTGATCATACGGTTTTTCCTTTTTTAGTGTATGAATTACATCAGTTGAGTTTTATTTATTTTAGTTTTGAATATTAAAGCAAGTTTATGTTCCTGAAATAAACCCCACCTGATTATGATGCATCATCATTTTTATATGTATATTGGGTGATTTGATTTATTGAAATTTTGTCTATAATTTTTGTATCTGTGTTAGGAAGAAAATGGGTTTCTTTCTCAAGCTTTGGAACCAAAGTAATGTTGGCTTCATAAATGAGATAAGGAATATTCCCTCCTTTTTACTTTTTAGGAGGAGTTTGTGTAGAATTGGTAGTATTTGTTACATAATGTTTTGGAAAAAATAACAATGCATTTTTCATGGGACGATTCTTAATAAATTTTGTTTTTAAAATAAGTATAAGGTTGTTCAGGGTCATCATTTCTTCTTAGAATTTGAGTGGTTTGTGTTTTATAAAATGTTTGTCCTTTTCATCTTAAGTTTTCATATATATAGGTGTGAAGTTATAATATGCCCAAAATGTTGTTACAGATTTTGAGATTAAAATTCAGGAAAAGGCTGGGAGTGGTGGTTCACACCCAAAATCTTTGCACTCTGGGAGGCCAAGGTGGGTGGATTGCCTGAGCTCAGGAGTTCAAGACCAGCCTGAGCAAGAGGAGACCCCATCTCTACTAAAAATGAAACTGAGGCAGGAGGATTGCTTTAGCCAAGTGTTTGAGGATGCCAATGAGCTATAACACTACTGCACTTAGTACTAAGGGCGACAAAGTGAGACTCTGTCTTCAAAAAATAGAAATAAAAATAAAAATCCAGGAAAAGCCAGTGAGATTGTGAGGAGAATAAGAATCTTAGAAACTCAGTATTTGGTCAAATTCCTGCTTCACTAATCCAACACAAGTTCAGTGTTCATAGTATTTCTTGAAGTATTTCTCAGAGCCTTCTTGGGAGAAACACAAGTATTTTGAGGATGTGGTTTAGATACTTCCTGCACCTGCTTTGAGCCTCTCAACCCTAGGCATAAACTATCTGTAGTTTTACTGAGAAATTTGTAAGAATTCTGTAGATTAAAAAAACAAGAAATAGTATCTGTACAATAAATGAGCAGTAGGTAAAATTAAAACAATGAAAAGTTTGTTATCAAACTAAAAAGGTAAAAATGCATTATTTCAGAGAAAACTGAAAAGAGCGATTAAAAAAATAAATTATAGAAGTAATTTTATATCCAGTATGTCCATTGCTAATCGCTTATCTCCTAGACTGTTTCCTACACATTTCACTTAAAATGGGCTACTATACTTTCTATTTTATAGCTTGATTATTTTAATTAAAAATGTGCAGCATGGGGCGGCGCCTGTGGCTCAAGGAGTAGTAGGGTGCTGGCCCCACATACCGGAGGTGGTGAGTTTAAACCTTGTCCCAGCCAAAAACTGGAGGAAAAAAAAAAAGCACAGCAAAGGTCAGGGAGGCCCCCTTACCTCCAGGAATTCACCTTAACAGAGTACTCTTTCTCCCTCTTAAACTGATCTCTTCTGTTGGAGAAGGAATATTTCCAGGCAGGATTTTGAGATTGGAGGAACAGTGCTGAGAACAAGAAACCCTGTGAGAGGGTAAATCGAGGCATATATTAACTGCTCCTTATCAGTTATGCATAAACTGTTGGTGTATGCATACTTTATGCAGAGTAAACATCCTTTATTTTGGTGAGTTTTATTGTACAGATCTAAGAAGGTTGGCGTTTATTTAACTTGTTGGTTAGAAGAAAAAACAAATAAATATGAAGAATGTACGATTGTACATATCTAGATTTAAATACAAAATTTTGGCTGAGCAGTGGCTCACACCTGTAATCCTAGCACTCTGGGAGGCCAAGTTGGGTGGGTTGTTTGAGTTCAGGAGTTTGAGACCAGCCTGAGCCAAGAGCAAGACCCCTATTTCTGTTAAAAATAGAACAATTAACTGGGCATTGTGACAGGTTACCTGTAGTCCTAGCTACTTGGGGGACTGAGGCAAGAGGTTGCTGTGAGCTAGGCTGGTGGTGCTTTGGGACTCTTCCCATGGCACTGAGCGAGATTCCATCTCAATTTAAAAAAAAAAAGAAAGAAAAATTAAAATAATACAAAACTTTGAGTTACTCTTATAGAGTGTTGGATGGTTCATTGCCTCTTTAAATTAAAACAGCCTAATGGGAATTCATAGAATATTTTTCTCCTGATGAAAGATATTTCTGTAAAAATCTAATTAAACATATTTTAATCTGATTGTATTGTTTAGAGTTTTAGAAGAGCTCTAAAGAATTGACAAAGGAAGAGATGAGATGTTGCTTCAATTTTTCTGATATTTTGGATTCTCTTTTTAATCTCTCCTCCTTCTCTCCCACTTTTTTAAATTAAGGTGGCTATCATCCAGTGAAAATTGGAGACCTCTTTAATGGCCGGTATCATGTTATTAGAAAGCTTGGATGGGGGCACTTCTCTACCGTCTGGCTATGCTGGGATATGCAGTAAGTGTTCTTTGTCATTTGTGTGCATTTTGGATTCCTGGTCTAGTTTCACCATCTGGTTTCTAAGAAGTGTGGCTGAAGGTTGCGCTTACGTTGTTGTGCAAGTAAAGTGCTTAGCCCAGGCCTCCCCCAGCTACTAGACTTCCTTGCCCTTTTTCATTTGAAGCTTATTTCAAACCTTAAAATAATTTCTTCTGGGTTTATCTCTGGAGCTTATTCCTTAAAACTGCTTTAATTGGGATCATGTTATTTTTCTAGTAATTCATCCATACCAGGAAAACTTTAAAATATAAAATTGATAATGTATAGACTTTTCTCATCGATGGATTATTTATAACACTTTTTAAAGTCGTGATATGTAGTAAGACATTTCATTACTAGCCAGCACATATATATCAATACATGTGTGGGGTGTGTGTGTGTAGAAAGAAAGTGTTACAAAAGAATACTTTCCCTTACTATTAATATTATGTGATAATTTTGACATTTTTCTGGTCTGTTTTAATTAGAAAAAGACAAAACAACAAAAGAAAAACAGCATAAAAGAGATTGCTTGACTCACGGATCAGCTTTTTGATTGTGGCTTCAAAATTTGAAAAGTACCATTTTAAAGGAAAGCTCGTTAAAGGTTTATATTTTTTGAGTAGGTCTCATTACAAGCTGAGTATCCCTTATTTGAAATGCTTGGGACCAGAAGTGTTTCAGATTTTGAATTTTTTTCTAGGCTTTGGGATATTTGCATGTATGTAACAAGATACCTTGGCCATGAGACCTATGTCTGAATATAAAAGTTGTTTCTGTTTCAAAATGTATATACGTTTTATACACAAAGCCTGAAGGTAATTTTATACAACATTTTAAAAAATAATTTTATGCTTGGAATAAAGTTTTTTTTTTTTGAGACAGAGCCTCAAGCTGTTTCCCTGGGTAGAATGCTGTGGCATCACAGCTCACAGCAACCTCCAACTCCTAGGCTCAAGCGAGTCTCCTGCCTCCGCCTCCCAAGTAGCTGGGACCACAGGCGCCCACCACAGCGCCCGGCTACTTTTTTTGCAGCCGTCATTGTTGTTCGGTGGGCCAGGGCTGGGTTCGAACCTGCCACCTTAGGTGTATGTGGCTGATGACTTAGCCACTTGAGCCACAGGCGCCGAACCTGGAATAAAGGTTTTACTATGTTTTGCCTGTGATATGTCAGGTGTGGAATTTTACACTTGTGTCATCAGGTCGACACTCAGAATATTTCAGACTTTGTAGCATCTTGGATTTCTGATTTTCAGATGAGGGATGCTCAACATGTAAAGCAACCATTTTTTTTTCTGCTGATAATATAAATAAATATGCTTTTTATTTTAGAGGGAAAAGATTTGTTGCAATGAAAGTTGTAAAAAGTGCTCAGCATTATACAGAGACAGCCTTGGATGAAATAAAATTGCTCAAATGTGTAAGTATTGCAACAAGGTGAATTATGTAAGACATATAAATGACTAAAATTTTATAGAGGGGTTTTTCTGTAACAATTAAAGTTGTGTTTTTCATAAGTTCAAATGCTGAATCTTTTATTTTAAAAATATCACTTTTATTAAAACAATGTTGGTTTGAACATAATGGGAGAAGGTACTCCGTCTTAAACTCTTCCATCCTCAACAGTCCTCTTTCTTTGCAGGTTCGAGAGAGTGATCCCAGTGACCCAAACAAAGACATGGTAGTCCAGCTCATTGATGACTTCAAAATTTCAGGCATGAATGGGATACGTATCCTTTACTTCCTAAAAGCTGAATCATAATATGCATATATATTCTTTACTTTTAAGAAATAGGAATATTGGGTGGTGCCTGTGGCTCAAGGAGTAGGGCACCAGCCCCATTTACCAGGGGTGGTGGGTTCAAACCTGGCCCTGGCCAAAACTGCAAAATAAAAAAAATAAAGAAATCGGAATATTTCAAGCACCTATAAACGTCTGTTTTCCTTCTGTATTGCCCTCAGTGTAGTCTTTGGGGTCGCTGGGAAGTGCTCTAAAATGACGCCTTTAGAGTGGCTACAAAGGATTGGGCGGGGGTTAGTGTCGTAGCATCTTAGAAACACTCCTTTCCTTTCATCCTGTCTCTTCCCTCCCTTTCTTCCTCCTTCCCCCTTGACTTACTTTGGCATGGAATTAATTATTGATTTTTCATTAATTGTGGTGAAGTTGATTTTTTGCAATGGCATATAGAAGCATAAGCAGCTTCTTTGTGCTTTAAAGTTGCTAAAAGCAGTGCACAAGGATTATTAATGCTCCAGAGGCTGCTAAGCACCACGTGAGGATGGAGCATTGACTGAGATGATAAAAATACTCTGAATGTTAACATTCTCAGAGTGGCAGTTGAATACTATTAGTATGATAGCACCCGTAATACTGAATTCTACGTCCAGTATGATACAAGTAGGCCTTTTAAGTAGTCGTTCCTGTCGAGTATCATTTTTCTGCCAGGTAAATATGGAAATCCTTTGGTTTTTGTTATATTACTCCCAATTTGTCTACTTTGCCAAAGCTTAGTGAAAGTAGGGTGATGCATTTTTTTTACAATAGATGCTAAATCTGACATAAGCCAGAGCTTAATGAAAAAGACTGTTATAGTTTTTCTTTAAAAAATTTGTCTTATGAAAAATTTCAAACATAACAGTAGAGAGTGTAGTACAGTGTATTTCTGTAAGTCCATCACCTAAGTTCAGTGATGGCCAAGGTCTGGCCACAGTTGCTCCTTCTATCCTTTCTCTCCAAATTATTTTAAAGCAAATCTGAAAACCATGTCTTTTTATTTTATCTTTAGTAATGTCAGTGTGCATCTGTGAAAAAGTTTGATGTAACCATAAAACTCACCAAATAAATCTTAACAGTTGTTTGATACCGTATCATACTTCAAATTTTAAATTTCAAACATTCAAATTTCTTTGGTTTTGTGAAAATGAATTTTTAAAGACTTGTTTGAATCACTTGCAACCATGTTTTCCGCTGAGTCATTGTCTTCCTACATCTGTATTGACTGACTTCTGTTGTTTGGTTGAAGATTAAATTTTTCAATTTATGTATCCTCCTTTTTGTTAGAATGTGGTACAGGATGTTTGTTTCCTCAGAAAGAAATTACCTTGATGGAAATTAATGATTCTTGAAAGATGAAACAGTTTCCTGGTCAGCTGTAAGATCAGGGGTTCCTCTTGCATAGAATGGCACTGGGCCTAAGAGTCGGTGTCTAACTGGAACAGAGCAGTCTGGACAGGCAGGGGGGCTCATGACTTCCTTTTCTTTTTTGAGAATACCACTTTTGCCTGTACTACTGTTAAGTTGTGTGGGTGTGTGTTGGTTTTTGTCAGGCCTCAGAAGGACATGACTGGGGGCTATGGAGAGGGCTGTTTTATCCTCACCCTTCCTTTGCCCGGGGACTTGACAGAGTGCAGCACCAGGATGAGGTGACAGAGAGCCGAGTATCTCAGGACCTACAGCTTAGGGCTGAGAGCACAAATGGAGAGAAGAGGTGATGTTTCAGTTTCCAGGATGCTCTGTCCATATTTTCATGTTGGATCCTCTGTGGTGGCCCTTTATGTGCCTGGGCTTAGGAATATTGGACCATCTACTGACCGGGGGATGCTAGGGTGTGTCGAGAGCTCAGGTCTTCTGGTGTCTCTCAGGTCTTTTCCTTTTTCATTTTGACCACTTTTGGTATTCCTGATAGTATTGACATTGTGTTTTATAAAGAAATAAATGTTTGGCAAGTGACACAGTGATGCTGCTTTCAGTAACTGTCTCACTCCAGGAATTGCATCCAGGAATGATCCTTAACTGGGTCCCAGATGTGTGCATGGTCTTTGAAGTGCTTGGCCATCATCTCCTCAAGTGGATCATCAAGTCCAACTATCAAGGCCTCCCAGTTCGTTGTGTGAAGAGTATCATTAGACAGGTAAAGACTTCTGATGGCAATTCCCACTCCCCAAAACCTAATTGGCTACCTTTAAACATTTTGGACTCTTATTAGATGAGTTTATACTTATTTAATGATCTGCCATTCTGTCGTAAAGGGAGTGCTATGTAGTTGTTAGGCATGTATTTCTTCTGACATACCAATCTTTTTTAATGTAAGTGGTATGATATTGGTTAATCATAAATTGTTTTATCCAATATCTCTATTATAAAACATCCCATGTAGTTCCTTAGAAAATAATTCAGAAGAAATAACTTACCGTGTTTATTTACTATTTCTAAGTGTCTTTGGATAGAGGGTAACTCAGTGATAACTCAATGATAATTTAAGAGTTGCTTATAGACTTTCAGTAATAAGGTCACTAAATTCTAGAAATTTAAGGAATAGCATGGCGACTAGACTGTATTAATAACAATGTATTGTATACTTGAAATTTTTTAAGAAAGTAGAGCTTAAATTTTTTCACCACATGAAAAGTCTATGTGAGGTAGGTTAATTAGCTGGCCGTGGTAGTGGCACTTTAGTCTGGATGACAGAATGAGACCCTATATCAAAATAAAATGTCTTTGAACTTTGTCAGATGTCATCTTGGGGGCAAATTTTTCTCTTGTTAAGAGCCAGTGGAGTAAGAGAAACGTGCCAGGTGTACATGCTTTGGGGACAGACTCAATTTCAAATTAGCTTTGGCACATCCTATTCTGTGACTCTAATCGAGTTACTTACCCTCTGTGAGCCTGTTCCTTCTCCGGACTCAGGGTAACAATCTATAATTTGTAGCTTTCTGGTGGAGATTAGGCATGAGGGGCTATTTGGAACACACCCAACATAGTGAGTGACACAGTGGCCGTATGTGTTCTCAGTACACACCTCTGAGTTAAGGGTCATGTATTGAGTTCCACATCTCTTGGCATCGTCCTTCATATTTTAGGTGGCAGGAAAGAAACACTCTGGTTGCTGTCTTTCCTTGAATGAGGGAAGACGTTTATGCTTCCCTTTTTCTCTATAAAATGGCTGATTTGTGTGAGTTAGAGGGCTCATAAATAAACATTTCCACTTGTTTATTTTCCAGAGGTAATGACAGGATTGAATCAGTTGCCTTTTCAGGATTTTCTGTACACTGTTGTCAGCCCATGATCAGTTCTTAGTTGTTCTCATTTGGCCATGACCAACCTTTGGTGGGCAGAAAAGGGCCATCCCCATGGCTTCTGGTGGTGGTTCCGCTGATGCTGTGCGGCCCATACCCTGGCCTGCCTCATGGCTGCTTCTCTGGAGTCAAGCATGGAGTCTTGTGATTGTTTATTTGCCCCTCGGTTTTCATTTGTTTTTCTTTTTAAGTCACTTTATTGAGGTCTATTTTATGTCTTCATTTTTTTATTTTTTAAATCTGAAACTGAGAAAAAGGTGTTTGTGTCGGCATTATTTGCGACTCATTAAAAGATATTTCTCTGATAGGGTGGTATCTTTAAAGTCCTTTGGTGCTCTTTAAAAGTGGCTTTGACTTTCCTGTGTAATTGAAAGGCTGCCTGGATGGCTCGGCGCCTATAGCTCAACCGGCTAAGGCGCCAGCCACGTACACCTAAGGTGGCAGGTTCGAATCCCCAGCCCGGAC